ACTTCAGTTTTTATTATCATTTCTTCTCGTCTGAAAGGTGGCAGTACTTTGGGCCGGGTCCAACAAATATATAGAATTTTATTTGATCTTACAAAGAATGGCTTATATTATTATATCAATAATATATTATTAGATTTTTTTTCTATTTAATTCTTTTTATTAGTGTTCTTATTAATATAGCTGACTTCACTATTAGTAGTAGTGGTATATTGTTAGACTCTTACGGTCAGTTTTATTGTAGATTATAGAAAACCTCGAGATGATGGATTCCTTTTCAAAGATTTTTCGAACGTTTTTTTTTTATAAATCACTGAGTTACTGTTGCTCCCCAGTTACTGTTGAAAGATCTTAGCATTTTCAGGGAGTATAATAATTTCGAAGTCAGAAGAATTCATTTGTTTCAGGTTTTCATCTGACATCAAATACCTCAAAAACTCAAATCTTTATAGTGATTATCCAAGAGTAGCTTGGATGTGGCACAAGGCCGAAAGTAAGGGGCACCCAGTGAGGATTGAACTCACTACTCAGTCGCAATTGTCCTAGCGAGACAAGCTTGCTAACCATTATGCCACCTCGAGGTGCCCATCTCAAATCCTTACAGTGCATACACTAAGATATTGCGATTTAGGGAAACCAATTAAGCATATCCTCCAGATGTCTTTAATACAACGATTGACCTATTTGACCAAAATAAATAAATAAACAGATTCATAAAAATGGGATACTCTTCATGTTTACAAACATTAGTTTTGTAGCAATCAACATAAAACGAATGTCACGTGCCCGAAGAGAGTTTGCATTGCACTAATACGAAAATAATGTCTTTGAAAATCTGTAGACATAATCCTGGTTTTAACTATACGCGTTTCCCTGATTTCCTACCTGCCTCTGTAGTGAAGATGGAACTTAAATCATTAAAGCGATTACTTTATACCAAGTTCATAAATGTGTGAACAAATGTAAATGGAATACATATTAAAATAGTTATCACTTCCAATATTGTTGGATCAACAATTTATTTAATCTTGGATTGGAATGGAATTATTGATGGTACATGCCCTGAATCCATCACGATATTTCAGAATGTAAAAATGATTAATTCCAAAGACTTTAAATTGAATGATCTAAGCATCAGATAAAACATATTTATTATTGGTGATTAGAAAATTAAATAAATGTTATGTTGCCCTCGGGGCACCTTTTTTATAATACAAAAAACACTTCAAAACGAAAATATTGATCTGAAAGCTAAAGTCATGTTTGTACACATCCTTACCAGATGTCGCCACATATGGACGCCAAGCAAGCCTCCAACTTATTCAGATATATTTTTGTATCCAAATAAAACAAACTTTTGTTCAGGCTAATGTGCAAGAATTCTTCAAATTAATGAATACATTAAATCTTTAAAGAAGACGGTACATGTTCAGACATTATAGACAGTCTATAAAACACCGAAAAGCTTTATCAATTAAAGAAAAAATTAAATGGCCGGATATATTGTCGCGTCTTGTGGAACGTAATTTCAATGAAGAAATGAATTGAATAAACATATATTTTTTTCTTTTCTCAATAATTTTTTTAGTTTTTAAACTTAATAGTGATTAAATTTGGATTTTAAAATTGCTAGTTTTTAATTTTAATATTAAATTTTATCATATAATTTTATAATTATTGGTTAGTATAAATTATTTTTAATATTACACGTATTTTAAAGATCTGAATAGCTATTATAACATGATTACGTTGTCAAGCTTTTGAATCTTTCTATACTTGGTTTTTGATTGGTTATTCTAGCTTTTGTAACAATGTTTCCCCTAGTGTAGGATCGTTAATTAATTTGAAACTTTTTAAAACCATTTATTTTATTTTCAACATCATCACTTGATAAGACACAGAGTGTGTTGAAACAAAATGGCTATTTTGTAGTGATTTTATAACATACTTATGTTATAATTTTTTATAAAATAATAATTATATCTACTCTACTTTGTATTGAGCACTCTTTTAAGAATAGTAATTGTTGGTTATTGGAATTCATTCCGTATATACCAATTATATACTTGGATATATATATATATATATATATATATATATATGTGTGTGTGTGTGTGTGTATTAGCAATGTGTGTATATATATATCCTGCTTATAATAAGCTTATTTCTGCTTATTTCTTCGTACGTTAAAAGTATGCTAAACAGTGTTGCACACAAGGTATCAGACAATAGCGAATAAAAGAAATGTATAAGAAATAGATATCTACTTTAAAATATTTATAAATGGTCTTATATAATAATGGCGTAATAACAATTATTACATTTCATTGATTACTGAAGAATTTTCAAAAGATAAAATTTGAAAATGTATTCCTTCTTTAAATCTGCTTATTAAAGTACCAGATTACATTTTCAAATAACAACATTTATATTATTATGTAAAAAGTCATATAAGTAACAAAAGCATTTTTTAATTCGAAGGTTATCATCGATCGTATGATTTTCGCTATGATGAAAATAAGAATCACGCGACTTATTAAACGTTTCGCTGCCACATACCGTGAAAACCTTAGTGGCGCACGTGATTGATACTTTTTTTTATACAATCTCCATTAAAATCAATATGTACATCGTATAAATATTGAGCCATTTTTGATAAATTTTGAAATATATTTGATGGAATATATGGAACTTCCGAATTCAACATTGTTATGTCTATATTTCTGAGATGAGATATTATATACATTATTTACATTATTCGGACTATTGTCCTCATCTTCGTCGCCATATTTATCACAACGTTTCGGCCTTTCAGTATCTGTCTATATTTCTGAGATGAGATATTATATATATTATTTACATTATTCGGACTATTGTCCTCATTTCATTCGCTATATTTATTACAAAGTTTCGGCCATTGTACGCTCCGGCCTTCTTCAGGTGGTTGGAATGCCGAACTGAACCCTTAATTTCGCTCACTCGGGTAAACTTTTCTTGTTCCACGTGCCATGTTTCAATGGATGTCAGTTATCAATTATCTCCTGTTAATTTTCCACAATTGGAAAATTCGTACACTTTCGGAATCAGCACATATGGTAGGCCACAAAAATCTCCTGAGCCGACCAAGCATATAAATAAATACAATATGGGAACCAGTAATAAGGAGTGCCAGAGAAAAGCGATAATAACAACAAAGTTACAATATGAGCTCTGGTAAAAATATGAAATGATAACAGCAGAAATAGAAATATGAGCACTGGTAAAAATGGTTGCTGAAAACATTAGGTTTATAATACCCAGAAATTCATACCTCAGGAACGCATGGCACAGTGGATAAAGGCGTTGGTTAGATCCAGTGACAGAATCCAAAGAGTGTGAGTTCAATACCCAGTTAAAGCAGTGGAGAAATTTCTGAGGGAAAATTACCAGAAGATAACGTATATCTGGCATCCAATAAAACATGGCACGTGGAACTAGAACAGTCTACCCCAGTGAGCGAAATAAATTGTTCAGTTCGGCATTCCAACCACCTGAAGAAGGCCAGAGCGTACAACGGCCGAAACGCTGTAATAAATATGGCGACAAAGATAAGGACAATAGTCCGACTAATGTAAATAATCAACATTGTTATATTTATCAAATATATTTTTCACGATTTGTTAGTGTTATAAAATAAATAAGACTTATCTCGGCTGATTTGCAGGCAAATAAACTAACATACTTAAGGGCGAGAGCCGGATGTGAACGGGACAAGGTTCCGTCACAAAATGACCATTATTGTCGTTTACGCTTATGCCCGACGCACGAGTTCCGGTCGAAAAATAAAATGATATTTTAAAGTGTTTCTATTTTTCGACCAATAAAAATGATTCCCTCCTAATTATACTCGCGTCGTTTTACGAGCCTGTAAAGCCATAAAAACGCCATAAAAGGGGTCACACGGGGAAGTACAGCAGCAATCAACAGGAGGCCAGGGAAGAGACCTGTCACGGTCAGCCAGCAGCAGTCAACAGGAGGCCAGGGCAGAGATCGGTCACGGTCGGTCTGAGCAGCCAGCAGCAGTTAGCAGCAATAGCGCCACGCCAACCAGCGAGAACTACTATGAGAGATCAACCTAGGTCGGCAGCCGGCTTATGAACTATACCACACGGTAGCTGTCCCAAAACCACACGTTCCTATTGAAATAAATCACGTAAATCTATTTCTGCTGTTGTCGTATTTCTTTCTTGCAACCATACGCTTGTCTGTAACATTAGTAATTGGTATTCATGCTGTCCTATCCAAAATGTCCTTTTTCTGATACTTTCCACCTCATTAATTGATCCTGAAACTGTTTCAATGGAAAAAGTACACAGATGTAGGCTTTCAAACGAGAACACACGGTTCGTGTCCTATTATACAGAAAGAACTCTCTGAAAGAGGAGAGGAACAAAGCAAGAGGAGCCAATTCTTTGATTATTCATAACAACTGTTTCGTACTTTTTTTCTCTTTCATAGAAATCATATTAACGTTAAAAACAGTACAAGATGATGAACTAACGTAGATTTATCCGAGAGAATATTATCCCTAGCAATGGATGCAAATTTAATGATGTGAGAAAACCAATTTAATATATAATTATATCTAATATTGTATTCCAGTGCTAAACTTATATAATTTTTTTAATAGATGTGCGACACTGGATGTTTTCAAGTCTTGTTCTCTTCGTAATCAAACATCAGTGGTTGTGAATTTGTGTTAATCCTGGAATTAAATAGCTTATCTGGTAGTAACTTCGCAGATGTGGTCTTATGGCAGAATCAATTTGAATTAGAATCACTCTTTAATCTAGAAACTTTCTTGTGAATCCGTTTTTTGTTGTTCTTTATCTTATTCTTGTGGCAAATCATTTTTTTTATGATCTGGCACCAATATGCATATCTGTTTTTATGATGTTGCCTCTATTTTCAGGGTTGCGTCTGCGTCAGTGTGTGTTTATATTTGTGTTTGTATGGACGAGAAACTATAAACATTCATCAGTTGATATCAGCTGGAGAACAAAAGGAGAATAAGAGAGAGAGAGAGATGGGGGAGAAATACGAACGTCAATAATCAGTTCTACGCGGTGCCGATATGGAATAATAAAATTGAATAACAACCGAGATTCTGATTTTGAGGAAAATAAAATGTTATGTACAAGGGTAGATCAATAAAATTCGGTTTGACAATAACATTATGCGATATACATATCTGTATGGGTGGGTGTATTATATTTGTTTTCCATTTTTCTAGCTCCTTTATTCATTACAATTATTTTTTTCTTTTACATACCCCCCACCCCACTAAAAAAAAATGAATAAAATGTTATCTTCGGTCACGTCATCAAATCTTCAAAGCTTTTACGCAGAGAGGATTACGTTCGCCTGGTAAGTTTTAAATTCAATGAGTTAACGGTTCACACGCATCACAGCATTCATCTGTGATAAAGAAGACTTTGGTGAAAATTATTAGTTTCTTTTATGACTTTCTAGAAGGTGCAAAGATAGATAGATAGATAGATAGATAGATAGATAGATAGATAGATAGATATTAATAGTCTTAGAGAGATAGATATAAATAGACTTAGATACCAATAGATTTAGATATATAGTTACATATGAGACTTAGATAAATATGAATAGAATTAGATAGATAGATAGATATGAATAGACTACAAATGGACTTAGATAGATAGATATGAATATTAGAGAGATAGATAGATAGATAATAGATATTAGACTTAGATATAAATAGACTTAGATACCAATAGATTTAGATATATAGTTACATATGAATAGACTTAGATAAATATGAATAGAATTAGATAGATAGATAGATATGAATAGACTTGGATATAAATAGACTTAACTACAAATGGACTTAGATATATAGATAGATATGAATAGTCTTATGAATAGACTCAGATAGATATGAATAGAATTAGATAGATAGATAGATATGAATAGACTTAGATATATATGAATAGAATTAGATAGATATGAACAGAGACAGATATATAGATAGATATGATAGATAGATATGAATAGACTTGTATATAAATATACTTAGCTACAAATAGGCTTAGATAAATATGAATAGTGTTAGATATGAATAGATTCAGTTAAATATGAATAGATAGATAGATAGATAGATAGATAGATAGATAGATATTCTACTATAAATCTCATCCTGTACAACCACAGCAGCACATCTCGGCAGAGTGATACAGATTAAATAGTAAAAGTCAGATTAAGATTCTAGTGTTCCGGAAGCATCGTTTTAGAAGAAAATTTAAAAAAGTGGCGGTACTTGGTATGAAGTTGTTCCAGTGGAATGTACATCTCACCAATAAAATACAACGTGAAGGACGGAACTGATCGGACTCAAGGCGAGCAGATCGTCTGGACACGAAAATAGCGAGAGTAGAGAGAGGCTTGCGGCGTTTCGTCTTTGAGAAAAGGTTGCGATCATGGCTCTCCACTTCTCACTATCCCTTGCAGCTCTCAACAAGTTCGTTCTCTGCTTCCTCCCTAGACCACGTTCTGTGTTCCGCTTGCTTAAGTCCGCTAGGTATGTCACGCGTTGTTTTCCATTGCCACTCTTTCACTCTATTTGAATCTTGAGTATCAGTTACTCCATGCTCTTCTTCTTCATAATGTATCCCAGAAAATTCAGCTGCCTTTTCTTGATATTAAATATAAGCCTCCTACTTGTTTGCAACTCCTCTAAGATCTCATTGTTGCTCACAAGCTCGCTCCATCATGCAATTAGCATTTAATTACCGTCCGTTATTTAAAATTAATTTTAAATTTCAGACGGGAAAAGGGAGAGAATGAGTAACTTATTTATTTACTTTGCCTGTATATGGGCCTCTCGAGACTAGACCAGGCTCTTTCTCACCCTTTCACATGCAGGAAAAGGTCAATTAGCGCGTTTTGGGGACAGAGGCAAAAGTTCACAGAGAAGAAGAATGGGATCCGACAACGATCGGCCCAGAGTTCGGCCGTTTTTAGCAGCAGGCATGAGAAGTTTGCCTAATAATTAGAATGGGAGCGACGTCATAATGCCTTCCTCCTTCACCTCATTGATACGTCAACACAGGCAATCCGAACGTCTTTATGAAAACTAAATTTCAACAAAACGCGATATATATGTAAGCATATCTTTTCTTAAAGTGTTAAATGAAATTTATAACCGTTTTAAAGAGCCCTAGTGATCGTTTGAAACTGTTACTAATGATATAACAGTTAAGAATAATAAAATAATCTCGATATTGTTTTTCGTTTCTGCTGTTTGTAATGTAAATGTTTGTAATTTAAGTACAAAAAATCATCTTTTTAAAATAATTAATGTTACATGGCTGAGAAAAATATATCGGTAACAGTTCGTAATATATACACAAATATACAGAGCAGATTATGATGAAAAGCATATATATATATATATATATATATATATATATATATATATATATATATATGTGTGTGTGTGTGTGTGTGTGTGTGTGTGCGTCCGTTTGTGCGTGCGTCCGTTTGTGTGTGTGTGTGTGTGTGTGTGTGTGTGGGAATTTGTTCGTGTATGTGTGGTCATGTTCCATCTTCAGATGAGCATATTAAAATGAAATTACGTAATTTCTAGAAATATTCTTTATATAATCCAACGTAAAGTACATTTAATTAGTAATAAGTTATATAAAAGACCTAAGCAAAAGAACATTTATATATGTAACGGCTTAGGCATTGGTCTCCGGACTTGAATGTCAAAATGAGATCAATGATCAAGACCACAGAGAGAAAGTAGAACAAATTGTTTTTTCAGGCCTATTCTTTAGGCATGGAATGGTGCATAGATTATTTTGATAGATATTTGCTACATCAATGAAATTGACAAAAGCCGAAATGCCAGCCATAGAGAAAATATATGAGTCATAAATTGCTGAAAAATTTATACATACAAATTCAGTGTGCGTAAATGACAATCTATAAATCTTACTTTAATATGTGACATCATTTTTACATTCTTACAAGATTGGGATATTATATCAAAAGAACAATTAAGAAAAGCTGTCATTTCCGAAGATACCCTTCTTTTAGGCTGGCAGGCTAATCCCACTTGCAAACAAGGGTTCTGGTACGGTAGTGTTACATCAAAACACAAAAAGTCAATCTCTCAAACTAGTTTATTCTGCAATTAAGCCAAGCGATTAAGGTCTGCGCACATTGTATCCTGGTCATGATATCCTGGTTCGAATCTCGTTATGATCGATTTGTTCAGGAAATAATTCATTGTTAATATTAGCTTTGATGACGATACCAGCGTGTAGAGGATACCAGCGTGGGCACATGATTGACCAAAACCATTTAGCCAAATTGAGTAGACAGATCTGTTTAAATGTTAGCGACGGTTTTGCTAGTACGAAGACAAAAGCCATCATAAATGAACGTAGTTATCCATTAAAAATATTCCTACATCAAATGTACACGAATATAAAATCAAATTTATTGAAAAAAATAGAATATATCATAAAAAGGTTAAGATAAAAAATATTTTACTTTCTTAACAATGTTAACATTAATATTAATAACGCCAACAATAAATTTGGATTTTCGTCAATGAAATATCCACCATAAAAAAGAGATCTGATTGATTTCGAAAATGATTTATAAATATGGTTAATGAAATCGAAAGAAGAAAAAAAGTAACAGTAAATTTACGAAAAATAACAGATGACATAAATACAATTAATAAATCAAATAAATTATTTATTCAAGCAGACAAATCTACTTATAAAATGGAAACAAACCAATTTAACGAACTAACCATAAGTTTAACAAAACCATCAACAATAATGAGGAAAATAATATAAATAAATAAGCAAACGCCATCGGAACAAAATTAAAATTAGATAACAGAATTAAACAATTAAAGAAAGTAGAACTATTTATTAAATTAAAAGTTCATAAGGATAATTTTAAAAAAAAAACATGTGTAGACTATTAATCAAACAAAAATAATACCGGGAAAATAAGTAAACAAATAATAGAAAACTATGTTCGAAAATAAGGAAAATATCATATATAAATCAATGGAAAAATACAACATGAACTGTTTCGAAAATATTAGAAACACATGCAAATTCTCTTTTATACAAGTAGATATAAATGGTTTTATCCATTCATTACCAAATACATATTAAATAAAGGATTAAATCTAGCAATACAACACATAAACATTCAAAACGAAGATAACTTCGACGTATCAATGGGCAGTTACGATTGCGCTTAATGCAATGATATAGGGATATATATTTTACATAATTTATCAAATATCATTAACAAAAAGGATATAAGTTTATGTAGTGATGGTGGTTTAATAATTGTAACAAATTATTAGGGTAGACAATAGAAATTATAAGAAAACAAATAATTGAAATATAAACAAATTAGGATTTACAACAAACATGAATGTAATCTAAAAATAGTAAATTTTATATTTAAGTTAAATATTAATGTTTCCGAACCATGTAGGGAGGCCGATAAAATTAAAATCACCCACTTACTGTATTTAAACATATACCACTATCTATTAATAAAAGAATTTCAATTAATTCTATGAATATAAGAATATTTAAGGAAAATAGGAAAGATATGATTCCTCATTAAGAAAAGTGGTAATGAGAATAGATTAGAATATATAATTAAAATAATACATAAAAAGAAAAGAAAAAAGGAATATGATTTGTTTTGTTCCATCTTATATTAATATAATAAAAACAAAAATAGGAGAATGTTTTTAAATTAATTGAAAACTACTTTCCTAAAATTAGTAAACTATCAAAAATCATTAAAAAAGCACAATTAAATTAGTTATAGTTGTGTGAATAATACGGATAAAATAATAAATAAACTTAATAAAAATATCAAAGAAAATAATAGCAATTATAATGAAAAAAGCGCACAAAATAGCAGCAATAATTGTATTGGTCGAAATAAAAACAACTGGTCACTTAATAATAAATATGTCTAATTAACAATATAATATATAAAGCAATTGCGTCAAACATAAGCTCGGGAGTAGTAGCAATTGAAACAATTTTTAAATAGGTTTATTAATCATAAAATATCATATAAAATAGACAGATACACAAATACAACATTATCAAAATGTCTATGGAGTCAAAATATATCAAATAAATTAAATAAGAAATGATAAAAAGTATACTCATTTAATAATAATAATAATAATAATAATAATGGAAAATATAGACTGTGTTTAGAAGAAAAACGTTTTATAATAAAATTCAAGAATGAAATTAAATTCTTAAACAAGAAAAATGAATTAATGAGCAAATGCAGTCATCTTGATGAATATTCACTTTGCAACTTACATATTAATATAGAATTATGTAACAAATAGAAAAGAAAATAATATGAATAAAATAATAACATAAAATAATATAATGAGCATAATAGAATGCACACACACATACACAGAAACACAGAAACACACACACACACACACACACACACACACACATATATATATATATATATATATATATATATATATATAAAATTAAAGATTTATGTATAAAAATGCGCGCGTTAGTAACGGAGTTAAAAACGCAAGTATGAAAATTTAAAAAAACAAACAAAAACAAAACAAAAAACCCAGAATAAACGAATATTCATTACGATTTTAAATATTGAATATACGGATTAACCCTTTGAAGTGGATATATTACCACGAATATATATATATATATATATATATATATATATATATATATATATATATATATATAAAAGAAATATGTTGTAGTGGTTCCAACGAGAGAAAAGTATGTATATTAAAAGAAGAGGGTGCCTGCAAACGTTTTTGGTTGTAATGTGGATTTATTGAGAAAAAATATTATACTTTGTTTTACATAATTTCATATATATATATATATATATATATATATATATATATATATATATATATATATATGTGTGTGTGTGTATGTATGGAAGATAGTATAGTTCTCAGAATGAGAAAAGTGTATATTTTAAGAAAAAAAAATACAGTAGTAGATTCTGTTATGCTGACGATAACAGTCGCAAAATTTCAGAAGCAAATCTTAAATTCATGAAGCAGTTCTATGTCGTCGTACCACAGGAAACAACGAATTATTAACAAGAGAACTATTTTTTTTCATATATATATATATATATATATATATATATATATATATATATAAAGAACAGTAAATATCATCCGGTGTTCTTATTGATATTTTTTATATTTTTACAAAACAGGTTTCAATGTAAATTTACAGAGCGTAAATATTATAAATTAACCGATGTAAAATAGGGTTTCTTCGCTAAACAGTAATAACCATGTTTCAAAAACCGAAGCTGTGTGACTTCACATTCGCTGTAAAAAATCCATGCCGATAAACACGTTATACTATTAAAAATGTAATTAAAAAGTCATCTAGAGGAGGTGGTTGAAGCCAGTGGCTATTTTATTGAATAAATTTATCCTTTAGTATTTCAAGGCGTTTTTGTGTATTTTTTGGATAAAATGAAATGTCAATGTATTTTAAATTTGGCATCCTTTTGACGATAATTCATCCATCTGTGACGTGGTCCCCTGGTCGCAGCGCCAACTGTGACGTTCTATCCTGATCTACCAGGGCACCAGTTGTGACGTCCCCAAACAGCACCAATTGTGACGTCCTCGCCGCGGCGCCAGCTGTTCGCTCCTCGCTGCTCCGTTCGGGTGTCGTTGCTCCAAACGTGACGTCCGCCTGTCGCGTCAGTCGTGTTGTCTCTTCCTGTGACGACCAACTGGCTTGGTATCGGTCGCGGCACCCAAATGTGACGTTCTAACCTTTTGGTGATTCGAGTGGGAATCTGGTTAGATTTGATATCAGCCTCGTCGTTCCCAACCCGCTTCTAACGCCTGGTTACCAAGGTAACTGCATTGATCTCCAGTCTGCCTACCCACGTTGTGAATTGATCTTAGGCAGACGAGATCAATCAGTAGTCGGGGCCGTAATGCAAACTGCATAAAAGAAAAGAAAATGAAAACTCAAAAAGTTCAAAGTATCAAAGAAAAAGGTAACAAACTTTATGTCTAGTTGTTCGATACATATGACTGCATCTATCTCCCGACCCGTTTTGTGGATTGTGACACATCGTTTTCCGTTAGGCAAGTTTTAACGCTTCAAGTTGTTTGCTCTCTAAGAAATTGGTGTTTCAGTGTGTCTTTGGACGAAAGTCGAAAAAAAATTATTTCGGTGGTCTGGATCTAAGTCGCTCTTCAAAATAATTGTTCTTGGGTTGAAGAGGAGTCCGGAATTTGCGTGAATCTTGGTCAGCTATCTGCGAGGCGGCTTCAACTGGAGACTGACTCCGGGAACTGAATTCCTGGAACTCTGGAACTCAACTCTGGAAACTCAACTCTCCGCTGGAGCCCGAACTGATTTCTGCTCGTAGGGGTTTCGCTTTTATGGACGCCGACCAAAACCGGGGTGGGTCTGTCGGCGTCGGGGGTTCCGCGATAATTCTAAATACATATCCACCTCTTTTATTTCTGGTTAGGGATTTTCCACTCTTTTCCATTTTTGGGAAACTTTTCTCACTCCCACCTTCTCACCATAATTCAGAGGGCGTGAACTGCCCTCCACACTTCTTCGTAGCAGCTTCTGATACCTATACTCTGGATGAGGCGTCGACAGCCTCCTTCGTGCGTCACGTGATCACCACTCGACCAATGAAGTCTTAGCCGGGCGTGGACGAATCCGCGGCTTTGTTTCAGAAAAAAAATATCTTGTTTAACTAAAAAAAAATTATCCCTTCTTTTCCTTTTCTTCTTCTTAATCGCCGTTATCATTTCCCTAGCCGCAAACGGGACAATATAACTCTTGTTCTGCACGTGGTTTTTGTCAGGTATTTTATCGCTAATTATCAGAATGGGTGGTCTTCTTAACACGGCCTCAAAAAAGAAACATAACCAAAGTTTCA